AGTTGTGGCATCGACGACCCGGTTCTGCTTCTAAACCACAGTTGGTACTTAATCAATTCGGATCAAATCACTGCTAAACTTCTCTAAAAGTTCTTTTAATTTACTTGTTTTATTGTTTTTTTTACTATGTTTATCTCTGCCTTGCTCTTTGAAACTTGTGTTACATTTTGAAGAGTAAGTAAGTTGCTTTCAGCTCGTCAGCTGTAGCATTATACAGTGTCAGATAGAACTCGACACCTAAGGGTTTTCATCTTTATACGACAAATCGATGATGGCTATCGCGAGCGCTTCATTCAACAAGGTATAGAGCAAAAGATGAGATAGATTTCAAGTTTAGAAATTTTTTTTAAAAGATTAAAGAAGAGAAATTTATTTTTTGCTTATTGCACTTGTACTTATCAAAAAAACTCGAAGTAATGTTTTTGTAATCCAGATAAATTTCAAACTTTACTTAGCTATTTTTTATGGCCAAGATTTTGTTGTAAGGCTAAAAGTCTTGCTTTAATTTTTACTATTATTAGTATTATTTTTTTATGTGCTAATGAAAAAATAAGAAAACTCCATTTTTTTAAAAAAAATAATTTCCAAACTTTTATGACTACTGTTTTTCTTACATGTTTTTATTTTTACTTGCAATTTCTAGTCTTTGACAAGTCTGGATGTTTCGTCAGAGCCACTCAGTACAGGTGCAAAACATTCAAATGCTCAATTTCTATCTGGCAATCAAACTGAAGAACTGTACAAGTAAGCTTCAGTTTTTCTCTCGTAATTGAATTTCTATTTTCTGCAGAAGGGAGTATTGAAGATAACTTTCCGAAAACAATGCTCATTTAAAGAATTTCACTATAAATTTTTACTAAAAATTTGTTTGTTGCCGGAGAAGGCCTTCTTCAACTGTCAAGTGCTATTTGGTCAAACTTATAGTATACGATCCAGTAAAAGTACGCACAAGTACGGTTATCTAGCCAGGTTGGAAAATCGTGGGCGTGGTAGTTCAAAGTTGTTACGTAACTGGAGACGTTCTGCAGGTATAAAGTATAAAGTATCTTATCTAGTAATTTCTGGTTTACTTCAAAGCTTTTTAAAAGTTTTATTTTTTCAGGACATCAAAGTGTGACCAATAAGATCAGTTCGTTCGGTAGCGATTCGCCGAAAGAGGGTGGTCGAAAGCTATGTGTGTTCTTACCACCGAAACACGGATTTTACAGAAGTGGCCTCTGCCTCCCTGTATGTTTTTTTATGCTTATACGCTGTAGAAAAATATCTTTGAGTTTTTTTCAACGTTTTTGCCACGTCTTTTAGAGTGCTGAAAATGCGGAAAATTGAAAGCTTATGTTGTAAGGGTTAGAGGTATATTACTTGTTTAGGTTTCCGGTGTTCCTCAAACGTCGGAGAAAAATGCCGGGGCAAACTTGACAAACGCAGCAGATGTAGGAAGTCAAAATAATTCAAGTTCCAAAATTGACGAAGGTATAGCTGATCTTGAAGTAAGTATTGTGACTTCTAGTTAAAAATTTTTGTAAGTGTTATTCCTAGATTGAGTACGTTTTTGATTTTGAAGTTTAGGACCAACTTTAGAGCTTTCTAAAGACTGCGCATTATACCAAACTGTTTGTTACATTTTACTGTTAATGTCAGTATATTTGAAAGTCAATCGGTGGAAATCTGAGAGCATATTTTTGAATTTAATGTCTTTTTCTTAATCTATTACTTTGAATTTTAGCGTCGCATTAGTAAGATTCATTTTCGCGGACCAAATAAGCGTCCAGGCTTTACTCCTGCGATGGGCCGTTCCCGTCAAAAGAGACAGATCCGCAAACATAAGAAGAGGTGCATTTCCTGCTGCATGCTGTCAGGAAGCTTGTACGTACCGTTGCAGCACAAAAAACATACACTTGAAACAGTTGATGAAAACGCTTTTGAAAATTTGGGAGGACAGGTATGTTGCAATAAATTTTATGAAGTTATCAATATTTATATGTGACAGTTTTTTGTGTTTTCTTGTTACTAACAACCAACTGTTATAGCAAGAAGAAGCTTGTCAAAAAACCGAGAAAACTAAACGTTTCAATATGTATATGTGGTGCGGGTACTGCGTGTTGGGGGAAAAATGCCCGTATTCACACCGTAAAAGCGAATCTGAAAACTAGCTGTTTGCTGTAAACAGCTGCTAATGTACCTCCCGTAAATTTTATTTTTTCCGCTGTTTTTCGTTTTTTTTATACCGGCTGACAGTGAAATGACAAAAATTATTCTACCAAAGATTGTTTTCTGATAGAGATTTCTGCTATTCTCTTGAACACTTATCATTATTATTTTGCGTTTCTATTACATCTGGTTATGTGGGTCAACATTACTTATAATCCTTACGGCCTAACGTTTTTTTTGGGGTGTCAAATGACTACTGTATGTCGCACCTATATATCATTCAAGCGAAAGTATTTATGATTATTGTCTGCTTGTATAAACGTTAAGCTGTTTTGTGTTTTCTCCACCTAAGTGATTTTTTGCTATCTTCTGCTTGGGGGCTGTTCACGTTCAGCTGCTGATTGAATGATTCATTTCTTATGAAGCAAAGGAGAATAAAGAACTTAGAAAATTTGAATTTAGCTGCAGCTAAATTTGTAGGTGTGGCCACTTTGGTCAGCCAGATTGAGTAGAACGAAAACAAAGATATCTACCAATGCAAAGTCGATAGTCGGTGAAGTTGTGTCGACAGAGTTAAGGTTCATCAACTGCATTAATGAATATGCTATTTTTGTTTTGAGTACACTTTTGGATTAGGAAATTTATTGTAGTTACCGTGAGTTAGCCACTTGATTGATTACAGAGGGGACTCATCTACAGTATGTTGGAATTTGATTGGTAAGAGGTCAATGAGAGGCTAAACTGGGATTGGCAAGTTTGTGTTGGTTTTTCTGCTGGAATACGGTAGAATAATTACACGGCAAAAACAACAACAAGTTTCAATCAATCGACTTATGAGAAACGTGTCTCATCTTGCTCTAGAATCGCGCAGGTCTGGTAAACGACATTTAAAGATTTTAAGCTAAATGATTAGAAAGAGAAAAAAAAGATTTGCACAAATAAATTATAACTGTACAAGCACCGTTCAAATTCAAAAACTGCAGTTTAGAGAAAAATTTTACTGTTCCTCTTTTACTGTTTTCGATTAGTTCTACTTGAGATTCCTTTTTAATTTTTTTTTTTTAAATTTCGAAATTTTTTCGTCTTTTTAGCAGTTGAAGGGTACTTGAAGCTGCTATTTAGCAATAAAAAAAATTTTTTTATGACAAAAATATCTTTTGAATTTTTATATATTCTGAGCTTTTGTAGGAAAAGCTTGTGAAACTTCAAATTAGAATTTTCACAATATAGTTCAATTACCAAATATGCTTAGTTAGTACAATGCAAAAACAAGAGGAAAAGAGCGAGTACAAGAAGACAAAAGAAAGTGGAAATTGTAAATATACATATGCATAGAAATAAATGAGAGTGTTTGCAATTTCGAGAGCAGAATCATATAACAAGCTTGTTGGAATAATTATAGATTTATGACCACTTATTGACTGTTGTGTCAGAAGTCATACAATTTCCAATCAAAACTTTTTCATGCTAATTTATTGCTGAAATAAAATAAGCAACAAAGTAGCAGTTGTGTTTTGGATAATTAGCTAGAAATTTCTTCAATCAGTAAATTCTAAGAAAATCGGTGATTATCTCCAGGCTGTTCAGTGATATTCTGAGTGTATTTTACATCAAGAAAAGCAAAAGCGTCAGCAAAAGCTTTACATGATACACTTTGTTTATCTGACAGTTTGACTATTTTAAGTCTTAAAATTTTACTAAAATATCTCATCAGCGGTACAAAATTTAAAAAGGTTCAACAGTACTTCTGTTTTTTTTTTGGTTTTGAAATTTACAGGAAAATTTATTTGTTCATTCAAGCAGTTTCTTGATGTAAAATACACTCAGAATATCACTGAACAGCCTGGAGATAATCACCGATTTTCTTAGAATTAAGTTATCAGACTGCAACACAGCTTTGTTGTGACGACAA